CACGAGTGGAAAAGTCACCCTCACCCCGGTGCACTACAAAAGAAGGCGGAAAGTAATCGGAGGACCCAACGTCACAGCATAAGCAAGTTTCTCTTAAACAAAATATAATATAATTAGATATGGTAACGTTAAAAAAAAAACATTTCGATGTTCTGCGTAAGCCGCAGATATTTTGATAAAATAAATGAACGTGATTCATCATCTCTCGTCGGTCGTGGTAAGGCCCTCTGAGATATGGAAAAGGGCTTGTCGAAGGGTGCCGCTGAAAGTTTTGAAGAGGCAAAATTTCGGCGGCACGCCAGGGTCAGTGAGTTTTTTAAAATCCTCAGTAGCCACGGACAGATGGAAGGAGGCGTAGAGGTTGTGCGAAGACTTCAGACGCCGGCACTGCAGTTTGTCGAGCCCGCCGGATGATAGGTGAGAGGAGACATCCTGACAGGTAGGGTCCGGCGCCAGTTTGGAGACGAATAAGGCACTCCGACTCACTGATGGCTAAGCAACCCGCCGCTTTGAGGCCTCGGATGCACCATTCAGCGCGGGGGCTAAATCCTTCGGGCGCTTCGGCCTCGGACACGCCGCTAACCCGTCACATGCTCTATCGTGGCTTGATGCAGTGGAGTTCGGTTCGACCCTCGGGAGTGCCGACTTGAGTGGTCCAGAGGTGCAGTGTGCACCGCCCCTTGCACTTGATGCCAGGGGGGTGCAGTAAGCAATATTAATAATAATATTAATAATATAAAAAGTGATTTAATGATACTATCTTTTTTTATTTCAAGAGATGAATATTCACGTCACGAGTAAGGTTCGTCAATGCCATCTACGGCTTTTGTGACTCAACCTAATCCATAGTGGCCTAATGAAAATAACCATGCCAATTACTAAAAAAATTAAGGTCAGTTCCAATAACATTTGTGACACTTAAAAAAGCGTAGACAAGAGAGGAATTAAGTATACACACGCATCTGCGTTTGCACAAACACGGAAACCGGTCCTTGTCAACGTTGAAGTGGGTCTTGAGATGTGTTTTGTCCGTGGTGTTGGTAATCTTGGTGCAGAGAAGCAAGGTGTTGTAGATTGTTCTGATTTCGTCAAAAAGAAAAAAGCAATATCAAATAAAAATAATAAAAACTGGTGTGAAACATACAAAATCAAAGCATTGAGAAATAAAATTGTGAAGGATTACAGGACCTTATCGATAAGCAAAAAGATGGCGAAGCGCTTTTCAACTTTCTTTTTGTACGTAAAGTAAGGGAAGTCGGACGCCAAAGAATTAAATATCTGGGGGACATAAAATAAGAAGACAAAGAAGAAGAATATAAATTACATGCCTTCTGGTGAACATTTCGGCATACGTCTGCCTGGTTGGGTTAAATGTTATAAATAAATCAAGGGCAAACGCCAACCAATCCCTAAAAGATCGTAGGGTCCCAACGTTTCGGTGCCGGCTCGGCACCTTATTTAGGGGGGCTATTTAAAAGAGAAGCAGCTTCTTTCTTTTCTTCTGCGGTAAATGTAGGGCAGTATCTTCGTTTTTTACGGTGGTTAGTTTTCAAACCAGGTGCGGTACCTTCGTTTTCTTCAAAGTTTGTTGCTTGCCCTCAGCATACGACAGTGGACTACGACGCTTATAGGAGACACCGAAGAAACAGGCCCCTACCATAAAGGAAAAGGAAGATGCTGATCCTTGTTTGTAAACAACCAACTTTGAGGAAAACGAAGGTACCGCACCTGGTTTGAAAAGTAACCACCGTAAAAAAAACGAAGATACTGCCCTTCATTCACCGCAGAAGAAAAGAAAGAAGCTGCTTCTCTTTTAAATAGCCCCCTTGAAGAAGGTGCCGAGCCGGTACCGAAACTTTGGGACCCTACGATCTTTTAGGAATTGGTTGGCGTTTTCTCTTTATTTATTTATAAAATTGAATGCCTCATTTACGCCTTAAACTAAACCCGATGTCTCCACTGTCAACATGAGCGACTTATTTGTAAAATAACCAAATGTTTAAAACACACTTCCACGAATGCTACGCACATAGATGATTCAGCCACAGATGCCTTTAAACGTACAGAAATATAAGCGAATTGAAGACCAGAGAAAAGAAAATGAAAGAAGACAGCATTATATGTGTCGTTGGGCGAGGCCTCTCAGGCCGGCTTCAAAACCTTCAACGGTGTCACATGCTAAAGCATCTTGCGGGAGGTTGTTCCACTCAGCTATGGTCCTCGCGAAAGAGGAATAAATAAAAATGTTGATCCGGGCTTTCATCGGCATCAGCATTTCAGTATGAGCGGCCCGAAATTCTCTAGTAGAGGGAGACTTTAATAATCGGAGCGAATCTACTTTTAACCTTTTGTTGTGCATCAAATACAGCAGTTTTAGTCACGCTACTCTCCTTCGTTCTTCCAATGGCGGCAAGTTGAGTCGGATGAGCATCGCACTGACAGACTCAGTCCTTCGGTATCTGGATGTGATCAATCTGGCTTTCTACCTTTTCTAATTTTTCAATCTGTTTTCTTTTTTCTGTATGGGTCCCACACTGTACTCGCATACTCCAAGACAGGGCGTGCAAATGTTAAGTGGGCAGTTAATTTTGCTTTCTCTGTCGCTAATTTGAGGTTACGTCTGAAGAACCACAATTTGCTTTCAGAAGTTTAAGAAGTGCTTGCCAAGTTGTAGATATAAAATTTCCAACTCATAACTCCAAACAGTTACACCTAGATATTTAAAATGACCGCGAGCGTTAGTGGACTACCGTCAAGTTCATAATCAAAAACAAGCACGTTTTTTATCTTATTTGTGATTCTTGACAATAGTCTATGTTCGTTAATTTGCATCTTTGACCTTTTGCACCACTCATTCATAGCTTCTAACGCTATGTTCAAAGTGATCTGATCTTCAGAACACACAATTCTGGAATAAATTAAGCAGTCGTCTGCCAATAAGCCAGTAATAACTTTAGAGCTAATGTTGTCAATGTTGTCTGCAACATAAATACTGTAACTTGAAAATATTACCTCCAAGCACGGACCGCTGGGGAACTCCCGATGTGAATTTACATGTATTAGATCCAGCACCGTTAACTTCTACAAATCGAGTACGATTAGTGCGGTAGGCTCTGATCCATCCCAATAGCTCTAAATTTACACCGGCATCTACTAGTTTTTTAATGAGTTGTGCCTGTGGAACGCGATTGAAAGCCTTTGAAAGGTCTAGGCAGATTACATCTACCTGTCACCTCTCATTCTGCTAAGTCGCAAAACCGTGGTTAGTTTCTGTCAGTTGTGTGACTATTGATAGCCTCCGCCGGAATCTGTGCTGGTTTGGGTGAAAAGCGTTCAAATATTTAAAGCAATCAAAGAGGTAACCCGCTAATACATGTTCCAGTATTTTTCTACAGACAGAAGTAAGGGAAATAGGACGGTAGTTTTTAGAGTTATGTTTTCTGCCAGTTTTTTGCTCCGCGGTAACATTTGCCGTTAGCTAGTTGGTAGGAAGATTTTGAAGCCGCGTGTCTGGACTAGTTCTACAACGGTAGATATTATGGGCTTTTCCCACCCCTGCAAATGACGTGTTTTGATGTTGTAGCTCTACTCGTTAATAATGTTGTAGTTGGCGCTGTAGGGGGACAGTCGGGAATGATGTTGAATAATTTAAGAAGATAATCTGCCGCCAGCGGGAGTTAAACCTCTGTCCGCAGTGTGCGAACCGGAGGCTTTACGACAGAGCTGCAGTTCAGCGTAAAGAACCCGCTTCACACTAAGGCTTTGTGTAGTACCCGATGCCCGCTGCCATAGCCACCTATGCACTCATACAACCTGGCATTTCGACGACGAAGCCATTGAGTGCTCGGACGCAGATTAGGAGCGCGACGATATGGTAGCACATATCATTTTTCGGGCAACCTGGACGTCAGTGCACAGCTTTTACAGCTGAGAGGACTCGAAACATGGTTTGTAAACCCGACGAGAATTGAAGAGGTAAAGCTAGGAATGCGAGGAGCACGAGCAGATATTCCATCGCTCGGGAAAACTGTGTTTCCGCGTGTCACCGCAGTGGGGCGCCCGTCACGTTGCTCTCCCCTCATCGGTTGTCTGCCGCTCTACCTTTACAAATTCGGCCGCCGCCTCTCGGGACAATATGCCAGGCTTTGTGAGAATAGAGGAGGCTGTGCCACTACATGCACTCCGGAGAAATACAAATAAATAGCCGAAAACAAAATACCGTCGTAGTACTGTCAATGCCAAGACCTCATGCCGGAAGATGCGCTTGCACGCGCTCCAGAATAAGAAACAAACAAAATTGTTCGAAAGAAAATGTTGACATTTTCTTTTTTCTTAACTTTTATTTTTTTTTTCTCACACGCCCTTCGATGCATGAGCGCAACGCGACAGCCGTTCGCCGTTACGTGTCGGAGCTATCGCTCTTGCTGTATTGTGAATAACACAGGACTACTCAATCTTGTCCTAGTGCCTTCTGGCTAAGCGTGATCTTAGTTCTCGACCAGAGGATTTTCATGGAGCGCCATTTAAGTCATTCCGAAATTGTCCTGCCAGGTATTCTAAAAGAATACAAAATCTATATTTGAACAACAACAAAATAAACTACCACGTGGAAATAATAGACTTCGCCTGTGTATGCATGAAAAAACACATAAGGTTAAACGCATTTCCTTTTCTCAAAGGTATTTGAACCGCATTGTTTAAAAGTCTTGTTTTATTACTTTGTTTTCGCGATATACGTAGAGCAAGGGTATATTATACGACCCCCAAACACAAAAGGTTGTGCACCCAAAAGAACGTGTGTGAGAATATTATGTTTTCATGCTTGAACAATAATTATTGTTCCCCAGCAGATGAGTGACATGCTATTTTTCGCTGACAAAAAGAAGAAATTGCGATCGTACATTCGAACTCTATTTGAACGAGGAGCTATTGAATTGTAATTATATCCTAAGATATTTACCGTGCCTGCGTGTATAGGCATGTGTAGACCTCGAGTAACAATGATTGCTCTCTTCTTGGAAATACTGTTCTTATGTCACACCCATGCCACTTTATCTCAAAACAGCGGAGGAAATTATCCTGATGCCAACGAGGTAAGAAAATTCCATTCATGTAACCCGTTTATAGCGAGGTGATGGATAAGTTCTTTTTTTTTTATGTTGAACCCCCCACATGAAGGTGCATAAATACACGCATGACGTTTGTATTATGAGGGGGACGCTGTCGGCAGGAGCAAGAACAGGATAGCAAAATATGAGAGAACACACAAATATATCATGAGGGCCGGGACATCAAGGAGGGGCCTAGCGCAAGGTCGTCGTGCGCGCCACTGCCCCGTCGTCGGCTTACCCTTCTTGAGAGTATGTTCAATCTGAATGCGGAACTCTCATCGCGTCACAGGTTGCCGCTAAATTTACAACAGCATTCTGACACCGACGAAAAGTTTTGACACATACTGTTCATGGGCAAGATTGCATCCAAAAAATGTCGCACTCGAGTGTCACACATAATCGTCACACACAGGTTGAATCAATATAAAGCGTCCATACCACCTCGTAAGCAACAGGAGACATTGCAAGAAAAAATGAGTCGTGATAAATTACACAAACCCACGATCAGGCCAAATTACAAAAAAAAAAGAGATCAGCCAAGTTTCCCAGTGGGAATCAAACTCTCGACCATGATAACTGCAGCCCAAAAGTCTTGGTTCGGCGCCATAAAAAGTTCTCTTTCGTTTTTTTTTTTTTTTTTTTTTTTTTTTTTTTATTTGTGCTGAAGCGAATTAGTGCTACTCACTTTTCTGTGCCTTCAGTGGCCAATAAAATGAACCACAATGTATTTAGCAGAAATATTAAAAACCTCGCATTTAGAGGTGGGCTTCAAGAACACTTGTCTACTCGTGTTCATGTCAAACGGCTTGGTACAGACTTTACACTTGAAGTACAAATGTATGAAAACTAACATGCAGTTACTTCACATCACTATCAACATGGCGGACAGGAATTCAACTTTTTGAAATGCTAAGCTATGCTAGCAGCATTAGCATGTCATTGAAAACGCCATCGTAAGAATCTACGAGCCGAATGGTACGTACGTGGACAACTAAATATTATTTTTCGTTATGTGCTAGAGAACGTCCCAATCAAAATATGGCAACACAACAAAAATGAATACGTTTTCGCGTGGGCCGACCAGGCAGCGCAGGCCAGTTTGGATATCAGCACCGTTGTGACTGACCGCCCTGTCTCCGTTGTCCTCACATTCTTTGATTGAAGTCTTGCGGGGTACCCCCGTTCCTGAAGAGAAGGTTATTGCATTCTGGAGCTTCAAAATCGACGACTGTCGGCTGCAAGGAGCTCCAATAGACAATCCCCCACGAGCGCTCCAGCCGCTGCAGCCTGCCCTGCTCCCAGCCATGTCCGACATCCTCAGGTTCTTCTGGAATCCTTGATGACGTGGAGGATTGGCTGGACGTCTACCAGCGAGTATGCCTTTACAACAATTGGAATGAGGAAGCTAAGCTCCGCAATGCAATATTTGCCCTTTTTAATGTCGCAACATTATGGTTTACCAACCACGAATATAAGATCGCTACTTGGTTACTGTTCCAAAACACAGTTGGCCAAAACAGGCCACAAATTTAGGCACAATAACAATCGAGACGTATGTAGAATGTGTCCAATTTTCTCAGTATTGTGCTGACGGTATTAAATTACTAACTTACAGTCCTGTCACTATATAAAATGGCCCGGTAATGAAACTTTGTAAGTTGTTAAAAAAAATGAAAGGCGTTTGCAACTCCGTGTAATGCCGAATAAGAACGCAGCTCTTGAGGAGGAGGAGGAGAGCGTACGAAGAGGAGAGTTGGCTCCTCCTCCTCCTCCGTATCCTCTCCTCCTCTCCTGCCCTCCTCCTCTTCCCTCCTCCTCTCATTCTCCTCCCCTCCACATTCTCCTTGTTCTCCTCCTTCCTGTCTGCCCTCTTGTGACGTCACTTCCCTACTGAAAAAAACCATTTGGCGCCTATATGAAAACAAACGGGTCCATACCGGTAACAGTTTAACCATGCCGGTCACCAGTTTGTCAAAGGGGTCGACCGTATGGGTCAAAGGGGTCCCCCGTATGAGCCATAACGGTCACCTATTTGAACAAACAGGTCACTCCTTTGGCAAACGGGTCGCTCGTCTTGGTAAATGGGTCGCTCGTCTGGGCAAATGGGCGACTCGTTTGGGCAAAATTGTCGCACGTTTGCTCAAACCGGTGACCATGTAGCAAACTGCACCGGTTTAATTGAACGGCTCTCCGTAGCCCGTTTGATACTGAACGTAAAGATCGGCGGCGTAGGCACGCCTAGCGCTTCAGCCGTTGCAGCCAATGTTTCCGGAAGGCTGGGAGCGCCGGCTCATCGATTTCAGATCGTCCGCGTAATGCAAATAATTATATTTATATTTCAATTGCGCTGATGTTCGCTTATACTGAAACTAAAACTAACACTCTTTTTTTTTGTTTTTTACGTGAATGCGCGACGTTGGTGAGCCGATATTTTTGACAGAACTTTAAAACTTTGTCTATCTTTGTTGCCTCAATTTACTTATTCAGCTCGAATCTCTCTCGCAGAAGACGCGACCGCGTGAAAGAATGTACGTCTAGACTCCGTTTCACTTTAATTCAAGACGCAGCGAAGGTAGCACGCGTACACGCGGCTGCAAGAACATCGAGCATTGCAAGAGCACGCCCGCCGTTGCAGCAGTAAACTACGAGATCGCGCTGAGTACTTTCTTCGCTCGGGCGCAAGCCGAGCTTCTGGCCGCCCCGCCGCCATTTCCAAGATTCAAACGCGCTAGAATGCGCGCGCGCGCGCGCGAGTGTTTTTTTTTTTTTTTTGAGGTTACAAAAACACATCTTTCTGGAATGCCTGGGGAGAGGGAGAGGGGCTGTCCCTGTGGTGCTCGCCCCCTCCCCCCTCTCTTGTCACCCGAAAAGCCGCGCGTGAGCTACACGCTCATAAGCATCGAGATCCGGAAGGGTGCGCCTAGCAGCCGCTTTTTTCTTTTTCTGCTTGTCAGTTCCAGCTCGAACTTCGCGCGTCCACCTGCTTCGATCTGTTGCTTAACCCTGCGGTCTTATTAGGATGTCTCTCGACAACGTATAGGATGTGCACCAAAGCTCTCAGTGTTCGAAAAGTCCTACGTCTATATCGGCAACAAGCAATTCTTCAAAGAAGTCAGGAATTCTTGCGGTTTGGTTGGGTTCGGCAAATGACAGCTTGTGCGCCACATCGTGTTGAAACTTCCAAGAAGCCGTTCCCTCTCATTTGTGTTTGTTTGGTTGTCCTGCTTTGACCGTGTCGACAAATATCACGGATTACATCTTTCAAGTCCGCTATTTTTATGGTAAGTGCACTGCAACCTACTTCTTGGCAACGATTGACCGTTCTTCTACTCGTACTCTTCCAGATTATCTATATAATTATGCAGCCACTATTCTCGCGGCAGCCGGGCGAATAATTTCCCGAAAGTCTACCTTCATAGTCTACAATTACCTCGGTTCTTGTTTGGTTTGCTATCTTCTCAGTTGTATAAAAGCTTAGAGTGCCTCTCAGATTTCACAGATCGCTTGCACGTTTGTACTTGTCTACAGAAGACGTAATAAACTTTGAGGAGAATTGAAAACAATCTTTTGTGTCTGTTTTCTTGTTCATTTGCAAGCACCTACGTGAGTACATTTGTTCTACGTGTTTCCTCCATGTTATAAATAGTTTTATGAGTTTCGGAACGTCTTAAACAAGTTTAAGATAACCAACCTACCAGACGATCCCCGTTTAGAGCTAGCGCATATTTTCCCGATTCGAATGCCACGTTCAAACGTGTGGTCACGTGCAAGGTCGAACGGGCACCTGTATCAAACGGGCAACGGTATCAAACGGGCACCTGTATCAAATGGGTACCGTTTGGAGCGGGTACCGTTTCAAACGGCTACCCGTATCCCATAATCACGTTTGATCCAAACGGGTCGACAAGTTTGCACCCGTTTGATTCACCAGTTTGCCACCCGTTTGAATTTCAAATGTTTTTTTTCAGTAGGGTTGTCACCCTCGTGATGTCACTCGTGAAGGCCTCGAGAAATTATCAAAACTTTTGAGCGTTCCTGTGATGCCTTAAATGCCAGAACCAGCACTTTCACATATGGCCATGAACAGGGCGAATAAAGCAGTACATACTGAGAACCAAAAAGCAGACAAAGTCAACATGTCCATGTTCACCTTGTCTTGCTTGAGGGTTGACGGTTGTTGTTCTGTTCGACTAGGGATTGGTTTCTGTATATAAAGAAAACTCCGAAATTAAAATGACATGCTGTGTTTAGAGATGGTGTTGGGCTCGTCCCCTTCGTCTGTACACGGGTTGGTTACATTTCTATTTCATGTTTTCGACGGCCATGAACGGCAAATCACATACACCTGACAAAACGTTAGCAACGGATTCACCTTAAAGCAACGCATTCACCATCAACACGACCATACCCCCAGGTACCAACTTCTGGAGCTCCTCCCGGACGACGTCGCGGATAACATCACGGGTGTCCCGGGCACGGACGCCGATCTCGTCGTTAAGCAGCCTGGAGGCAACGACGCCGGGATGTCGTTGGTAGTAGGAGGCGCGTGCTTAAAGGGAGCGCTCTATGTTCGTTGCCTCCGTGACAAACGCTTCGACGGTGGTTTGACGGTTGCGGACCAGGCCCCCAAAGATGTTCTCCCTCATCCCGCATGAGGACGCGCAGCTTATTGTCGTCGGCGGCTTGTGGGTTGGCACGCGCGCTCAGACGCCCCCGGGAAGGCTTCCAAAAACGCGAAAACAATCGTCTTTTAACAGGTCCCGTCCTCCAAAAAAGATGTAGGAAAGCACGAAAATTCCAATAGCTGAAGTTGGGAACAAAATTGAGCGAAGAGAAGTGACTCAGAAGAGCAAAAGTTAAAAGAAAAAAAAACACTCCACGCACGTACAGAAAGAAAAAAAAAATTCTGTCTCAAAGCGTTTGACCACGAAGAGAAAACTTAAAAAGGAAAATAAAATTAAAAAAAAAAACTGCGCGGCATG